CCCCAGCTTTATCAACAAATAATGGGACAGCTGCCAGCAACAAGAGTAACTCCCGCAAGGCCATTTATAAACTCTGGAGTTGACTATCGTGGGCCATTTTGGATACATTACAAAGTGAGGGGTAAGCGACCAACCAAGGCTTATGTAGCTGTCTTCTGCTGCTTTGCGACAAAGGCAGTTCACCTAGAACTTGTGTCTGATTTATCCACAGAAGCTTTTATTGGCGCACTTAAACGTGAATGAATAATTTAGCGGAGCTATCTGAAAATATATATTCGGATAAATTGCAAGAATCAATTATTTCAACCTCAAACGCTAAAGGCATTCACATTCATTTCATACCACCAAGAGCACCGCATTTCGGAGGTTTATGGGAAGCAGCAGTGAAGTCCGCGAAACGCCTCTTGGTACGTAGCGTGTCAACGGAAAACCTAACACATGAGGAATTGAAACGATCATAATCGAGATAGAAGCAATCCTAAATTCCCGGCCGCTCACGCCTTTGTCAAACGATCCTGATTGTCTTGAAGCATTGACACCAGAACACTTTTTAATCGGGGAGGCTTTAACTGCACAAGTAGACAGCAGAGCAGAATCTGTTAAGACATCCAGCACATCTCATTGGAAGCTGCTCTCACATATCAAGCAGCAGTTCTGGAGGAGATGGTCGGATGAATACCTCCACGAACTGCAACAACGGAACAAATGGAGGAGAAAGATGAACAATCTTCGGAAAGGTGATATGGTCATCATCAAGGAAGATAATTTACCACCGATGAAGTGGCCATTGGGAAGAATTCTCAATGTGTTCGCTGGTGACGATGGAGCTGTACGAGTTGCTGATGTGAAAACTTCAACTGGAGTATACAAACGGGCCATTCAGAGGCTGGCTCCACTGTTTCCAGAGGAGCATAGTGAATTATCCACAGACCAGACAACGCAGGGTGACATCGGCTCTTCTAGGCAAGAGGAAGATGGGAAAGATACCATCCCGAGGAAAAGAATGAAGATCGCAAATTGCCCCATAATGCTATAAGTAATATTAGCCTTGCTTCTAATGCTTGTGGTCCTATGCGACATGCTGAAAATAACGCAATTTCACAATGATCCGGGATTATATTTTGAAGGCTTGGGAACAGTGAAACTTAACACGGCAGAATGGAAAATGTTGGTGTATTGCGATTTAACGCCTTTTGCATCAGAAATAAAGTCGCTTTCAACCGGTTTACAATCGCTGCAGCAGATGTGTCCTGTAATTCAGCAACACAAGATGTGTGACATGTTCGTGAGCAATCTCAAACACATTAAAAATGAACTACTACAGAAAAAGGAGTTATTTACCAACAGACGGTTTAAAAGATCTCCATTCAATATAGTCGGCAATATTGCGCGTTCACTTTTTGGTGTCCTTGATGCTGATTATGCGGAAGAAATGTCTAAAACCATTAGCAAGGCAAGAATCGAGCACGAGCACATGACAAGTCCGTTGAAAGCCCAAACTTCAATAGTTGACTCTACCATTAATGTCATAAAACAAGATGAGATCGGCAATCAACAAAAGATACAAGAGATCTCAGAAATGGTTGAGAAATTAAATAATGATGTGGCTAAAGAGTCTTCCCAGTTAAAAAACTCGCAGCTTGTCGGACTCTTGTCAACGTACCTGGTATTCTCCGCAATGAACCTGCACAGAGTAGAGTCGGAAATCATTAGTGTACTTACAGATACACATAATGGCAAAATAAGTCCACTTTTACTGTCTCCTCATCAATTGAGAGAAGAAAGTAACATAATCAAGGCTAATCTTCCAATTTCGCATGCTTTACCAACGGACGATGAGAACTTGATTGAGCTCTATAAACTTATGAGCGTCAAGGGTGCAGTGACAAAGCATGAAGTCATCTTCGAGGTCAAGATACCCTTAGTCAATCAACAGTTTTTTGAATTATTCAAGGTAGTACCCGTTCCAACAATAAGGTCCAACTCCGGTCCAAACTCCGAAGGAACGCAGTCGCCAACCCCTGTGAAGTCAATATCTTTAATAATCATTCAACTGCCAATTGCAATCTCAACAAGATTATTGGATCTACAGTTTGGACCCAATTGCATCATCAAAATAGATGGATCTTCGCTACTACTGTCGATGTTGAATCTTCTATCGTATGCGGTGCGGAGACAAATCTTATCATCCTGTAGTAGTTCATTTTTAATGTGTTTGAGATTGCTCACGAACATGTCACACATCTTGTGTTGCTGAATTACAGGACACATCTGCTGCAGCGATTGTAAACCGGTTGAAAGCGACTTTATTTCTGATGCAAAAGGCGTTAAATCGCAATACACCAACATTTTCCATTCTGCCGTTTTAAGTTTCACTGTTCCCAAGCCTTCAAAATATAATCCCGGATCATTGTGAAATTGCGTTATTTTCAGCATGTCGCATAGGACCACAGGCATTAGAAGCAAGGCTAATATTACTGATAGCATTATGGGGCAATTTGCGATCTTCATTCTTTTCCTCGTGATGGTATCTTTCCCATAATCCTCTTGCCTAGAAGAGCCGATGTCACCCTGCGTTGTCTGGTCTGTGGATAATTCACTATGCTCCTCTGGAAACAGTGGAGCCAGCCTCTGAATGGCCCGTTTGTATACTCCAGTTGAAGTTTTCACATCAGCAACTCGTACAGCTCCATCGTCACCAGCGAACACATTGAGAATTCTTCCCAATGGCCACTTCATCGGTGGTAAATTATCTTCCTTGATGATGTCCATATCACCTTTCCGAAGATTGTTCATCTTTCTCCTCCATTTGTTCCGTTGTTGCAGTTCGTGGAGGTATTCATCCGACCATCTTCTCCAGAACTGCTGCTTGATATGTGAGAGCAGCTTCCAATGAGATGTGCTGGATGTCTTAACAGATTCTGCTCTGCTGTCTACTTGTGCAGTTAAAGCCTCCCCGATTAAAAAGTGTTCTGGTGTCAATGCTTCAAGACAATCAGGATCGTTTGACAAAGGCGTGAGCGGCCGGGAATTTAGGATTGCTTCTATCTCGATTATGATCGTTTCAATTCCTCATGTGTTAGGTTTTCCGTTGACACGCTACGTACCAAGAGGCGTTTCGCGGACTTCACTGCTGCTTCCCATAAACCTCCGAAATGCGGTGCTCTTGGTGGGATGAAATGAAAGTGAATGCCTTTAGCGTTTGAGGTTGAAATAATTGATTCTTGCGCTTTATCCGAATATATATTTTCAGATAGCTCCGCTAAATTATTCTTGGCTCCAACGAAGTTCGTAGCATTGTCGCAATATATGTTTTGGCAGTGTCCACGCCGCGCAATGAAACGTTTAAGTGCGCCAATAAAAGCTTCTGTGGATAAATCAGACACAAGTTCTAGGTGAACTGCCTTTGTCGCAAAGCAGCAGAAGACAGCTACATAAGCCTTGGTTGGTCGCTTACCCCTCACTTTGTAATGTATCCAAAATGGCCCACAATAGTCAACTCCAGAGTTTATAAATGGCCTTGCGGGAGTTACTCTTGTTGCTGGCAGCTGTCCCATTATTTGTTGATACAGCTGGGGTCGTGCTCTGGTGCACCTTATACATTTTTGAATCGTTGATCTGGCAGTTATTTCCCCTCTGATTGGCCAAAATCGTTGTCTTATTGTGTTTAACAGCGCTTGAGGTCCACAATGTTTGTTTTCTTCATGATTCGTGGTAAACAACAATTTTACTAATGGACCGTTATATGGCAATATTATTGGATGTTTTGCCTCCGGTTGAAGCATAGAATGTTCCAATCTTCCACCTACGCGAAGGACGCCGTCTTCATCCAAGTACGGCGACAGGCTGCATAGACAGCTGTGTTTGCTAATTTGCTTCTCAGCTTTCAACTCTTTTATTTCAGTTGCGAATTCTGCCGATTGTATAGCATGAGTAATTAACCAAAGTGAGTCATCTAACTCCTCAGGGTTAAGGGCCTTACTTCTGGGCCGCTGAGACCTTTGCAGGCCACAACTCCTCTTTTCCGTGAAGAAAAACTGGACCATGAAACCATAATCGACTCTTATATAGGTCTACTGGTTGCAGGCCTCGAGAAAGCATGTCGGCAGGATTCTCCTTTGACGGAACGTGCTTCCATTGCTCTGGTAATGACAATGTTTGAATGACTGACACCCTATTTGCCACAAATGTCTTATATAAGGTTGACTGGGATTTTATCCAGGCAAGGACAATTTCCGAGTCGGTCCATAGAAACATGGGGTGACTTTGAAGCTTTAAGTCAATCCTTACTCTATTACCCAGTTCAGCTGCTACCACTGCGGCACTAAGCTCTAGTCGAGGAAGTGTTTGCTGTTTCAACGGAGCAATTCTGGATTTAGCGCAGATCAGGCGTACAGCTACGAGACCATCCTTTGTAACAAAGCGAATGTATACAGCAGCGCCAAACGCCTTCTCCGACGCATCGGCAAACACACGTAATTGCACCTTTGCCGGAATCTGCCCACCGAATACATGTCGTGGTATTTTGACATTGTTGAGACCTTCCAACTCGCTTCGAAATGTTTTCCAGGTAGCACAAAGTTTTTCGGGCAATGGTTCATCCCATCCTAATGCAAGTTGCCACAGCTGCTGGATAAACATCTTTGCTTTTACAACAATTGGTGCAAGCAGACCAAGTGGATCAAAGAGTTTCGCTAGCTCAGACGTAACTGATCGTTTCGTTATTACTTGACAATGATCAATATTTGCCTTCACGCAAAAACGGTCGGCCTGAGGCATCCAAAATAGTCCCAAAGTCTTTATCGTTTTGCTTTCATCAAAATCTAGATTGATTTCCCTATCACTATAAGGTATATCCTTTAGCAATCTTGGACTGTTTGACGACCATTTTCTTAAGTTGAAGCCGTGCTTTTACAAAATGATTATCAATTCCTTTTGTGTCTCCATCGCTATGTTTAAGCTACCACCACCGAGACCATCGTCCATATAAAAGTTCTCTTTTAGCATTTCTGAACCAAGGGGATAGCGATCCAAGTTGTCGTCTGCGATTTTCTGTAGAAACTTTGTGGCAAGGTACGGTGCTGCACGTATGTAACAGTATTGAGCTTGTAATAGCTAACTGGGTGCGATGGATCTTCCCTCCAAATGATCAGTTGATATTTCTGATCATCGGGGTGAATTAAGATTTGTCTATACATTTTTTCAATGTCAGTTGTGAAGACAAACTTTGGTAATCGGAACCGTAGCAGGATAGAGAACAGTTCACTTTGCACAGTTGGTCCTGTGTACATTAAGTCATTTAACGAATGACCCGATGACGTTTTCGCGGATGCATCAAATACCACCCTTAATTTTGCCGTGGTACTATCTGGTTTAAGCACACAGTGATGCGGAATGAAATATTTAGGGTTCGACACTATATTCACGTCAATTTTCTGCATGTGTCCTAGCATTTCATATTCCTGCATGAACTTGATGTATTGCATGCGGATATCATCCTTCTGAAGAAGCCGACGTTCAAGACTCATGAACCGGTTATACGCCATCGCATGAGATTTTCCCAATGTTGTTGGAGATTCTTGGAAAGGAAGACTAACAATGAATCGACCGTTCTGATCCGTCTGGACATGCTGATTATAATGAGACTCGCACCGGGTTTCCAGCGGAGATATTACCCTTTCCGTTGATCCTCCTTCTTCGAGTTTCCATAACTTCTCAATTGCTTGTGTCAGTGAAGTTTCACTATCGAAAATTGCACATGTTAGCGCTGCTGATGTGACGTTCGTTGATGATTGTTCTATTAAGCCGCCTACAATCCAGCCAAGCGCAGTATTCTGCAGAATAGGTTGATTATTATTCAGTTTTATTGTACCCGGTTGCATTAGGCTGAAGTAAAACTCCTCCCCGAGTAGGATGTCAATTTTTCCTTGAATATTAAAATTTGCATCCGCCAATTTAATGTTCGTTGGAATCTGCCAGTTAGATATGTCCAAATCGTGATTCGGTTGTGCAGGTATAATCGTTGGTAAAACAAATGCTTTCAAATAAGATTAAAATCCAGAATTGTTAGACAACATTTGCATGTTCACACGGTGATAAGCCTTCTTCTGAATTTTTCCAACTCCGTCAATAGACAAAGAGGTCTCTGTTGTTGCAATTGATAACCTTTTAATCAGCCGTTCTGTAACAATATTTTCTTGTGAACCGGAATCAAGCACAACTCTGAACTCGCCTGACATACCATTTGCAGCTTTTATGGTGACTCTCGCAGTGGCAAGAATAACGTTCTTCTGATCTTCTGCTGATGCCGAAGAAATTACAGCAGTATTGACTGGTGTATGATTGCTACTTGTGGTTGACATTTGATTTAAGCCTGTTGATGATGATTGAGATCTCCTTGATAAATGTAACAACGTATTGTGTTTATTATTACATTTCTTGCAAATACCAGATGTGCAGTGTTTCGCTATATGATCAGCCTTAAAACAGTTCACGCACATTTTATGTTGTTGTACCCATTGGAGTCTTTAAGATTCCGACATCGCCAAGAATTGCTTACACTGATAAAGACGATGTTGACCATTTTTGCATAGTTTGCAATTACTGTGATTCGCCATTGATGTTATGGACGAAACAGCTTTGCTTGAACCTTTGTGAGCAGTTGCCACTTTCCCAATCGATTCCATTGACTCAAACTGCAATTCCAAAAATGCAAAGAGTTCTTTCATGGAAGGGACCTCCTTCGGTCTTTTTAACGATTGCATAAATCGTATGTACAACGCATGATCCAACTTATTCGTAATCAATTGGATCAATAGCGCGTCCCACGACGAAGTGTCAATATCCAGGTTGTTCAGGGCCAGCATACATTCCCTCGTCGTATCATGCAAAGCTTTGATAGAAGCGGTTGATGAGGTTCCTGTTGGCTGGTTCAGAATACGTTCTACCAATGTTGAAACAAGAACCCGTTTGTTATTGTACCGTTCTTGGAGCATCATCCATGCAGTTGCGTAGTTGTCCTCTGTCAAGGCTAAGTGGCTTATGAGTTTTCCAGCTTCGCCCGACAAATTTGTTTTTAAGTACCACATCTTTTGGATATTAGGAAGATGCTGCTTGTCCACCATCTCAAGAAAGAGTTCATAGAACTGACGCCACTTCAGACAATCCCCATTGAATTGAGGGAATGTTACCTTTGGTAGTGGAAGTGAGCTGTGTGCTACCAAGTCAGTTCCCAATTGAGGTGTGCTTGTTATATTGCCACCGCATTTCTCTTTCAGTATTGCCAGCCTTATCAAGTTGCTTTGAACCGCATCTTCTAGGCTATCGTAGTTGTCTTGATTCAGCCCGATTCTCGAAGGATCCTCGACCTGTTGCCAAATTTCATCGTACAGGCCTGTAATTTGACTCCACAGCCCTTTAATCGACTCTTCTTTTATCACATAGACTTGTTTTGACTGTCCCGTTTCTATATTTTCCATACTCTGCAGAAGGCGACCGAGGGCTGTCATTCTCGCCTTTACCCTTCGGGCCAGTCCCTCAACTTGAGCCAACGCAGGTTCCTTAACCTGGGCTGATGCTTGGGGTTCTGAATCATTTTCTGGCGATCTTGTCTTTGCGGGTTTATCTGGATTGACCTTGGCAGACTTCAGCTTCTCCAACTCCGCCTTTATATAGTCCACTGTTGCATTGAACTTTTCGCCTATGGCCTGGTGCAGATTCTCCGATATACGCATCATCCTCTGCCAATGATGGATCTTTGCGGATCTGGTTTTCTGCCGATTCAAACGTCTGCCAAAGCTGCTCTAGCTCCTTACGCTTGCCAATGTAGAATTCCTCAGTTCTTCTTTCAAGCGGTGCCTTCCTAATTGTCGCTATGAATTTTTCGAAATTACTGCCCCTTACTTCTTGTTGGACTATAAGGTCTTGAAGCGATGCCATTGTTGATATTTAAATTTTTTCCAAAGAAATTTGTGTACAAGATGCGTGTGTATCACGTCTGACAAAACCGGATATATGTTGCCGAGTCCTTTACCACTTGTGGGGCAGAAGGCTGTGTTTAACGACACGTATCACGATCAACCTCTTTTACCACTTGTGGGGTAAAAGAATGTGTGTAAACGAACGCGTATTACGATTCAAATCCTTTACCACTTGTGGGGTGAAAGGAGGTGTGTTAACGAACGCGTATTACGATCAAAATCCTTTACCACTTGTGGGGCAAAAGGATGTGTGTAAACGATCACGTCGGGATCACCAAAAACGTTAATATAAATCGGACCTAGTGGGCTTCAGTTCAAACACATAAATTTGAACTGACACTTACAGTCCTTAAAATTCTCCTTACAAGCACATAAACTTGAAGGAAAGACGATGATTATTAAATAAATCCAAATTGGTTATGGTCGCTTTACAAAAGACAACTGATTAACTCTTTATTATTTTCATTCTTTTATACAAATAATTTCTTAACATAATTGATTACTTGCATAAAGTAAAACTAGGTCAAATATTATTAATACAAAGTGAATAAATGAAATTTTTAAATATTTAACCTAAATAAACGTGAATAAATGGCTTACATGAAAATGCTGAATTAACAAACTAGAATAAAGCTGTAAATACGTCACAACTAAACTACAACTTAAATAAAAATAGGTATGTAGATACGTATGTGTTAACACATAGTGTCACCCAGTTTGATAAATGACTGGACTTGGCAGCCCGTCATTTCTCTTCGCTCAGACCATCTCCCGATAATCGTCTCCAAAAGCAGGTCGCCCGAGTGAACGCTGCACTTTCCTTAACCATGGGAAAGCTCACTGGCCAGAGTTCAGAGATTTAACCAACCGCCGCTTCAGAGAACTGACCAACCCTTCTGATGTTCGGATAACAGAAAGGATTTTCCGAAATATCATCAAAGCTACAGTCGCTCGCTATATACCTGCTGGTCGAATACCCGAGATAAGACCAAACTTCCCTGCAGAGGCAGCGGGATCAGTAAACGAGCGTGATGATCTCCGTCGTACCAACCCTACTAATCCTAGAATCAGTGATTTGACAGTGGAAGTCAACCGGTTGGTACAGGAGCATAAGAGGAAAAAGTGGCTAGACCATCTGAAGTGTTGCAACATTGGAACCGATATGAGTAAGCTGTGGGTAATGGTTAAGTCGCTCTGGAACTTGGATGACAGGACCTGGAAAAAAGATCAGTCACCGTTACGTCGTTAAAAGTGACTGAGGTCCTATCATCCTTTTTTCCAGGTCCTGTCATCCAAGTTCCAGAGCGACTTAACCATTACCCACAGCTTACTCATATCGGTTCCAATGTTGCAACACTTCAGATGGTCTAGCCACTTTTTCCTCTTATGCTCCTGTACCAACCGGTTGACTTCCACTGTCAAATCACTGATTCTAGGATTAGTAGGGTTGGTACGACGGAGATCATCACGCTCGTTTACTGATCCCGCTGCCTCTGCTGGGAAGTTTGGTCTTATCTCGGGTATTCGACCAGCAGGTATATAGCGAGCGACTGTAGCTTTGATGATATTTCGGAAAATCCTTTCTGTTATCCGAACATCAGAAGGGTTGGTCAGTTCTCTGAAGCGGCGGTTGGTTAAATCTCTGAACTCTGGCCAGTGAGCTTTCCCATGGTTAAGGAAAGTGCAGCGTTCACTCGGGCGACCTGCTTTTGGAGACGATTATCGGGAGATGGTCTGAGCGAAGAGAAATGACGCGCTGCCAAGTCCAGTCATTTATCAAACTGGGTGACACTATGTGTTAACACATACGTTTCTACATACCTATTTTTATTTAAGTTGTAGTTTAGTTGTGACGTATTTACAGCTTTATTCTAGTTTGTTAATTCAGCATTTTCATGTAAGCCATTTATTCACGTTTATTAAGGTTCAATATTTAAAAATTTCATTTATTCACTTTGTATTAATAATATTTGACCTAGTTTTACTTTATGCAAGTAATCAATTATGTTAAGAAATTATTTGTATAAAAGAATGAAAATAATAAAGAGTTAATCAGTTGTCTTTTGTAAAGCGACCATAACCAATTTGGATTTATTTAATAATCATCGTCTTTCCTTCAAGTTTATGTGCTTGTAAGGAGAATTTTGAGGACTGTAAGTGTCAGTTCAAATTTATGTGTTTGAACTGAAGCCCACTAGGTCCGATTTATATTAACGTTTTTTGGTGATCCCGACGTGATCGTTTACACACATCCTTTTGCCCCACAAGTGGTAAAGGATTTTGATCGTAATACGCGTTCGTTAACACACCTCCTTTTACCCCACAAGTGGTAAAGGATTTGAATCGTAATACGCGTTCGTTTACACACATTCTTTTACCCCACAAGTGGTAAAAGAGGTTGATCGTGATACGTGTCGTTAAACACAGCCTTCTGCCCCACAAGTGGTAAAGGACTCGGCAACATATATCCGGTTTTGTCAGACGTGATACACACGCATCTTGTACACAAATTTCTTTGGAAAAAATTTAAATATCAACAATGGCATCGCTTCAAGTCCTTATAGTCCAACAAGAAGTAAGGGGCAGTAATTTCGAAAAATTCATAGCGACAATTAGGAAGGCACCGCTTGAAAGAAGAACTGAGGAATTCTACATTGGCAAGCGTAAGGAGCTAGAGCAGCTTTGGCAGACGTTTGAATCGGCAGAAAACCAGATCCGCAAAGATCCATCATTGGCAGAGGATGATGCGTATATCGGAGAATCTGCACCAGGCCATAGGCGAAAAGTTCAATGCAACAGTGGACTATATAAAGGCGGAGTTGGAGAAGCTGAAGTCTGCCAAGGTCAATCCAGATAAACCCGCAAAGACAAGATCGCCAGAAAATGATTCAGAACCCCAAGCA